GTGTGTGTGTGTGAGAGAGAGAGAGAGAGAGAGAGAGAGAGAGAGAGAGAGAGAGAGAGAGAGAGAGAGAGAGAGAGAGAGAGAGAGAGAGAGAGAAAATTTTCTCTGCGAATACCTTTTTATTCACAGATTATGTATTAGATCTAAGTTTAATTAACTCGGTTTATTTTCGTTTGCAAGAGTAGTGTTGTTTATTGTTTATAAATGAAATAGACTTCGGGAAGGGAAACCAGGGTTCTGTCCGTGTGTGGGTTTATAGTTAGCTAAAATAAGATTTAAAGCTCTCAGTCGTCGGCAAGCTGTTAAAATGCACTGGTAAACTAAGCCCAGAAAGCAAAAATTATACAGGAGTGACAAAAAAAAGAAAGAAAGAAATTAATTAACAACAAACCAAATTAAAGGAGAAAACTGTTTCATTATTCTTATTATAAAGATATAATATACCTAGGATAGAATAAGAAATAAAGAGCTGTGGGAAAAGACAGGACCAAAGGATATATAGAAGTAGGAATAGGACTAAGAAAGTGGCGATGTATGGGACACACCGTAAGAAAGCCCAGCGGAAACATCACAAGACAGTCACTGCGGAACCCACAAGGAGAACGAGGCAGGGGTAGGCCACGGGAAACATGGAGAAGATGCGAGGAAAGGGACATGAGAGAGATGGAGCTCACTTGAGGAAGGATGGCTCAGGACAGAGATAAATGGAAGTAGCTTGTGTGTGGCCTATACCCTGTTAGGGGTGAAAGGCATTGATGATGATGATTTTTTTCTTGTTTCTTTTCAGCATATTTAGAATTTGGAGTTTCGACGAAATACACGTAGATAGATCTACATGTGTCGTATTTCTCGAGAACATGCTATGATGCTGCCGATACATGTACCACAGAATATGAAACTGCTATTTCTAAAATTCAAAATTTTGGGTTTAGATGTCTCGTACATTTTAACCGCTGGCCAACGCTGAGCATCTTAAGAAACATTCCGAAGCGTTTTAAGAAACATTACAGTACGGGCTAATAGCATTGAAAGAATGGAAAAGTAAAAGTGAAAGCGCATGCAACATAGGAGTTTGTTGTCATCCTCAGATGAGAAGGAGGGCGGGGCATGCAGTCACGGCCGAGCTGTGGATCTGTTCATCCACTCTATAAATAACTGCCAATACGTCCCTCCTACAGGTGAGATAAATCATACTCTATATATGGCTCTGCTACTTAGTTTCGTTTGGTTTTGTTTGGTTAACGTTTTACAAGGTTATATGGTGAGCATGGGCTGCTATTTTGTAAAACAGGAAATGAACACGAGAGGGTATAGTAGTAGTAGATCTATATTATATTCCCTTACGTTAAACTTTCCCGGAATTATGTATCTTGATTCAAAGTACAGCTTCACACCTTACATTTTCGAACAAATGTAATGAATAAACACCCAGATCTATACAAATGTGTATAAGTATAATGAGTAGTTTAGGTTGTTGAAATAAAATGGCGCTGTTTATAATATAATTATCTCCCCTTGCACGTCAGGGTATCCTATGGGTTGCATTTGGTCATCGAATAAAAGATGGTGACATTGTATAGATCTAACGTCCCCTATCAACACTGTTAAGAGTGTTAGATCATTTAAGAGGCGGAACCTTCGACTTCGAGTGTAATGTCATCTCCCAAAGGATCGAGCCAAAATTGAAAATTCGTGTAAAGTGCCTTTCCCAAGGACACAACGTCGGACCCAGCCGAGCTTCGAACTTTCGAACCCGCAATCTCACGATTACGAGTCCGGTAGCCTTACCACTAGGCGACCGACGTCACTGGTAATCGAAACCAATGAGGTAACCAGGACACCCAGTGCGCTTACAGGTCATCATTTACTCAAAGAATAAAAAAGGGATCCTACGGATAAGAGCTAGGTTGTGCCTCTCGAAATCTACCAAAAAATCCGCCTAAGACCCCGCTTTTTGTCTCCCTCCCACTGTTTGAAATAAGTGGGGGAGGGGGAGGGGGAGAGGGAGAGACGGTCGAAGCAACCACTTCTTCCCTCCTCCACAACCCGCAACTGAGCTTTTTAAAACTTTGTAACATAGCAAATGAAAGAAGCTGCATTGAAGAGAAGACAACCTTGAGACCATGTTTTAAGCTAAATTGACCGACCGAGTAGACGAAAAGAGCCAAACAAACAGCATAGCCCATGTATTTTTCTGGCCTAGAAGCTGAAGGCGGCCTCTTTTCACATGGAAAACCAGCTCGTCGAAATAAACCTTATTGTTCACAGTTCAAACTGAGCTCGAAGTCTGGTTTATTTATAGAACGGTTTCTTAGACATCAAATTATAATGAAAAAAACATTCGCCACACGGTAACAGTAACAGAGGCCTCTTATCCCAGCGGATTCTTACGCGAAGTGTTCTTAGTCTTAGGCTGAATTCTGAAACCACACTATGTATGCCTACACACATACACACGTAATACATGTACATATAACATTAATAAGCAGACTATTTTTAGTCCTTTTTGTTACTTTAATAGGTATAGAACATTGTGTTCGGTTTATTAATTTCTACTTTTCCTCCCCCCCCCCCCCCCCCGAAGGTGGCCTTATGTGCGCCATGGGTTTCATCACTAGCCCCAACTGCAGGGGAGATCACCAGCCGGACACCAAAGGGAATGCTCCTTTCTGTTGATTTTCAGAATGGAGTTGCGTTGCTTCACTGACTAAGTGCTCGCAATTCGATTTAACTGATAGCGACTTAACAAATAATTCGAGTACGAGTATTTTTAAACAGAGAAACGTCATTCAGAATAAAAGCTGCGTTTTTTTACCCTCTACAAAATGTCTGAGTTGTGTCATTTAATAATCTAATAAGATTTTACGTTTCAGAAGATCTCCTGCCTTTCTCCCTCCCTCTTTCTCTGCCTGTCTGTCTGTCTGTCTGTCTGTTTGTCTCTCTCTCTCTCTCTCTCTCTCTCTCTCTCTCTCTCTCTCTCTCTCTCTCCGACTCACACATACACACACACACACACACACACACACACACACACACTCACACACTCACACACACACACACACACACGCACATTCCCACATTGGCGTCCACCTTGAACGATGGCGTTCGTGATAAAAGTTTACTTTTCATATATATATATAGAGCAGGGCGACTTAACATCAGTGATAGGTTTTGAAATACTGATAAGAGCGTGCCTAATCATAAACTTAGTCTTTAATACATTAACTACATGTACTATTCTGCCCCTGACTGTAGTCTAGACTACTGGTTCATTCTAAGGTCTGAACTACAGCACTGCGCCCTCGCACTATTTGACGAAGGTCTAGATATTGCGTATACATTCTAATAAAGTTTTGTTAATTTAAAATTTGGCAACTTGGAAACACACACATATATATATATGTCACTTTTTCCATAAAACTACGACAGCTACAGAGTTGAAAGTTGGCATGTACCTGCAAAAAGATAGATAGATCCCCATGACGGAGCCCGATTTTTTATTTCCTGAATTTAGATAAATATATTTTGACAAAAGGTTCCCGTCCTTCTTTGGCCTTCTGATTATTCCACTGAGAGACGAAACAAATCGGCGCAGCTGTCCTGTACGGCGGAAGTGCCGGAAGTGATATTTCGCGAGGCGCATTTTGTTTTGAGAGTATCTGGACCTTCTAATTTTTTGTATCTCTCAAGATTTATTGCTCCATTCCAGTAGAGTATTAGATCTATAGTAGGCTAATGACTTTCCGTTGATGTTAATGCATCGATATTTTCTTTAAATTGAAAGTGGGCCCAGCTAGTTTATAATACATGTAGAAGTTTTACACCCCCATTAACACTATTTAGTTCACTTAGGTGGCGAGCTGCTTCGACCCTGCCTGTCACTGTCAGGGCCAACCGGCGCTCAGCAGTAGCAGAATGAGCTACACTAGATAAAAAGTGGGCTTGAAAAGGGCGGGGTTTATCGTGTTTAGTTTAATTTTTAAAAGTGGCCACTCAGAACCATAGAGTTCAGTATTGAACTAGATAACATCTGCGTTTGCTGCCATTTTTGGGGGGTCCAAAATATGCCAAATGTTGACACAAAAAATTGCAAAAGTTGCCGTTAATTTTCAAGCTACCAACGAAAATATAGCAATACATGTATTACATGTTGATAGAGGTCCAAAACACCAGAATTTCTTGTGCGCTGTTTTAAAGCATCCAGAATATCATTATATTTTTTTTAAAGTTTTCGTAAGAGTTTTACGGCACTTGAAACACAATAAGGTCATATAAGTGCCGAAGATTAGATGTGTTACAAGAGAGTAGCAAACACAAAAAAGAAGGAGGGGAGATAAAGACGATAGATGTTTGATAGGAAAGAAGGAGCAAACCACACCAGAGCACCCGCCAACCACCCACTGAATATCATTTGTAGCCACACACAGTGTAAAAACGTGAAAAAATAAAGGTTTCACAACAGAATTAAATCAAAATTAGAACAGCGCATAATACGTTAATAATAAACAACCACAAAAATTTACAAATACGGGCGTGTGTCCACCAATCCGAAGATTGGCCGTTTTAACCCTGACGTGTGCAATTCAAGAAAAAGTACAAGTACAAGATATTACTGGTAAATATGGAACCACACACAAAGGGCCTGCTAGTGCCAGTCTTCGGTTTTGGTGGAGACACGCTCTAACTCTATAAGTAATAAGTAGAACACATCTATCTATCTATCTATCTATCTATCTATCTATCTATCTATCTATCTATCTATCTATCTATCTATCTATCTATCTATCTATCTATCTATCTCACTCACTCACTCACTCACTCACTCTCTCTCTCTCTCTCTCTCTCTCTCTCTCACTCACTCTCTCTCTCTCTCTCTCTCTCTCTCTCTCTCTCTCTCTCTCTCTCTCTCTCTCTCTGTATATATATATATATATATATATATATATATATATATATATATATATATATAATACATATATGGTGTCTCTCGTCATGGGGAAACTACACTAGGCCTATACAATGGCACCAAAGGGTGCAGATATTGAACTGCTCAACAAAGTTAAACCTGCACACAGTGAGGACATCAAAAAATGTTGTCAACACAAGAAAAGGTCGAAATTATAATTTTGGTAAGCAATTTAAGCCAGCGAGATGCTGCAGATGAATTCAATCGTCGGCTCCCAGACAACCTTCCCATCTCCCACACCACGGTGGGGAGATTGTTTCAGAAATTCAAAGAGACGGGAAGTGTTAAAAATGCCAAACGAACAAACACTGATCCATTGCCTGATAACTTACAGGCTGACATTTTGGCAAGACTTTTGACTAGCCTAACCAGTTCACTACGCCAGATAGCTCGGGAGGTGGACACAAGTAAAGATACCATCCATCGCCTGCTACGTAAGAATCATTTCTGTCCATATAAATTTCAACCTGTCCAGAGACTCCACGGGGACGATCCGACCCGACGCATGGAGCTTTGTGAATGGGCTTTGTCTAAGTTTGACCTCGGCAAATCAATTCTTTTTTCCGATGTGAAGCCATTTTCTACGTCACTCGTGATGGTAATCGTCAGAACAACCAATACTGGTCACAGACGAACCTGCACTTAACGGCAGAAACCAAAGAACAAGGATCAGGTCGAGTAATTGTCTGCTGTGGTTTGTGGAAAGACAGGTTGGTTGGACCCTTTTTCTTCAACAATACCGAAACGGGGGACAGTTAAGTTCAAATATTGGATGAAGAAGTAAGAAGCCTTTCCATCTCCTGTAACACCTGATGGTGACTTTCCATCTTACTTTCAGCAAGATGGAGCTCCCCCACATTTTACAGTCAAAGCAAGAAGATATCTTGATGCACAGTTCCCTGGAAAATGGAGAGGTCGTAGCGGACCCATTGAATGGCCTCTAAGAAGTCCTGACTTAACTCCTTTAGATTTCTACCTGTGGGTGGAGTCATGTCAAGGCTCTTGTCTATGAAGGCCAACCACAAATAACAACAGTCAATGAATTCAGAGAAAGAATCAAGAAAGCTTGCGCTAGCATCAACCTTGCTGTTTTACACGCCGTGTTCCGTGAGTGGAAGCTGCGACTCTTGATGTGCATCAAGCAAGAGGTCCTCCATTTCGAACAACTCCTGTGAAGTGGAAATTAATTAACTGCGCTTTGCACTGTAAGATACGTTCAATAAATACGCACTTTAGTTCTATAGTTCATGCCCATAATATGTATTTACCCTATGGTGCGTCTAACGGGAGACACCTTGTATTATAAAAGGTAGGAACAACATCAAATTAAATGACATTACGCTACATAATATGCACACAACACACAAAAAATACAAAGACAACACATCAGAACAATAACAAATAAACACACCAACAAATTAAAACACGACAAAGAGGGAAAAATAAAAGAGAAACAGTAAAATAAATATATAGCATTTAATATTCTTCACATGAAAATAACTATACATAGGCACCTTAAAATTATCAACATACATGACTAATAAGTTATGAAGTAGCCTACATAAAAAACAGAGCCATAGAAAGTTGAGGATAAAAAGTGCCACCAAAAAAGTTAAGCTTTAAATCTTTAGAAGAACAAATCACAACGTGGTGTCAACAAGTGAGAAAGAGAGAAAGTGAAGCGGAAGTGAAAATAAACTTTCTTTCTAAAAGTAGCGAGGTTCGGTTCCTTTTTTTCCCCCCAATTTTTATTCACTGTTTTTTTTAAAACGATTTTTTATTCTAAAAAAAGAAGCTAAGTCTCGGCCGCGATTCGCGGACCAAAAATGCGATTCGCGGCCGCAACAAACGCAGGTGGTACATTTGAAGGGCCAACTCGGGCTGAGAGGGATACGACATCCTTGTACAAAGACTGAGATATTTGATCAAAATTTCTCCGATTCTCCTCACTCAGGAATCGAACTCGCGTCTCCCGCGTGCTATAGCGAAGCGCCAAACCGCGACAGCACCGACGGCAGTCTCATTTCTGTGTGTGTGTGAGCATCACATTAATCACTACTCACAGCCACTCTCTATTCTTCCTGTAACTCAAGACAAAACAAAATTCCTGTCTGCAACCCCAAAGCAACGCCCCACAGTGACTCAGATTTGAGATCCTGGTCCAGCTGTTGGAAAACAGCAGAAGATATTCGGACACGTCTCCGGCGAGCACCCAGGAACTATTCGGAGACATACTCTCTCACTCAGTAATGCACTACTTTGGGGGTCAAGCTTCGTATTGTTTGCTGCAGACCACACATATATAGCTACTAAAACTGTCGCAATTTTCATGAAAATTCCAAACCTAACTGCAAAATATCAAATTATGGGTTAACCCCCCCCCCCTTTCTGTTTTAGTTTAGTTTTAGTTGAGGTTTTACGGCGCTCGCAACTGTATAAGGTCTTATGAGCGCCAAGGGGTGGATGCTATACATTCTTTTACTGACCGTCTAGGGTGAATGTCAACAGAGAAGTCCTTATAGGGAATCAGACTTACTCTGCTCACCTCTGTAGCTTCAACAGCACAAAGTCTGCTTCGACTATTCAGGCCCCCCGGAAATAGCGGGTCACAAGAGTGTGACAAACACGAAAATGACGATAGTAAGGATTAGGAAAGAAAAAGCAGCAGTTCCCAGTTGTAGTTCAGGCACAGTTATAGTTATAGAGTGTGACATTGTTGGATCAGCCCATTTACAATTCTACTCTGCATTAGAACGAGAAATGTCCCCCCTTTGGAAATGGCCTAAATGGCCTACAGACACTTCGGTAAGTGGCACCGTCCCGGGGAGTAATGCCCCCCCCCCCCCTGTAACCCCCAGATTTTTTACTTGGTCAAGAAGCAAAAATCATTTTTTGATTGGTCTATCTCCGTCGGAGACGTCTCCGGATCATAGATACTGTGTTGGAAAACAGTTGGGGGTTTGGGGAGGGGGCGGGTATACATGTATACCGTATTAGTTTCACATGTACTTTTAACGATGCCAACTGTGAACTGTGGAAGTGGAAGCACTGGTCACCACAGCAGTCAGACTGACATTAGGTAGGCTACTGGTTGTCCTCTATATATCCACACGGCTCAGCTGGGTGAGGCAGTCCAGCTCTCCGTAATACAACGACTCGTTGATCACTTTCTCCGCAAAAATACGCTGCTCTCTCGACATGGATCGTAGCTTGGCCGCAACGTTCTTTCCAAAAATATCGAAATTGTCGTCCTCTTCATCACAGCGACTATTATTAGAACCGTCGGATCGTCTCAACTGATTGGCTAAACGAGAAAAAATATCACGATCGTTTGCTTTCCTTTTAATTGGCCTCCGCTTAGCGATAGGAGAGGAAGTCGGTGTCTTCGCATCAGGCTTATTATATGAAATCGACGCTGGTGGTGAAATCGAGGGCGCTGGTGATGCTGGGCTCATTTCCGGAATTTCGTCTTCTATCTCGTCACTCACTTCCTCATTATATTCTATGTCTGAAGGAGGGAGGTCAGGAGGGTCATCTTCAATTATTTCTATTTCTTGTTTAACGATTTCACACTGTGGTTCCTGAAACTAAAACAAAAGAACAAATCATGAACAATGAACAAAACAGTAACTCCGTATTCGTCAGAAGTCTTGAAAGAAGGTGATTTTTTTCCCCTTTCTATAGCATTCTGTAATTTATCCATTTTATTTAATTAATTTTACTTTTAAAAATTAACGTATTCATTTATTTGTGTATTAATTTACTTTCTTTATCTACAGCTTTATTTATTTCGCTATTTATATTTTCATGAAGGTAAAGAGTGAGGGGGGGGGGGGGGTGCAGCAGACTTGTTCAACCTGGCTTGATACGGCATGCAGAATCCAAGCAGAAAGATGTGTATATATATAGGCCTACTCCATAACATTAAATGATCTTCCCGATACGGGAATGGAACTCGCGGAGTTTGCCTACAACAAGGCAAAGGACTCACCATTATACAACAGACTGGATATTCAAGGTCAGCTGGAAAGTAAGACCATAACAACAGCAAACGTGGTAATAACAAATAATAACACCCCATCACCACTTTTGTTTGTTTACTTTGAGTAAAGAGAAGCACACCAACACTATAATGGTCATTCAGTGCTGGGAAAAGGGTCGAAGACAGATAGACAGAAACAACAGAGGGAAAGTAAAGACGTAGGACCTACCAGTGGTACCCACCAACCTCCCACACCACCACCACCACCACAACCACCACCACCAACAACAACAACAACCTGTGGACATTAAAAAAGGACACAACCAGACACCAGGTTTATAATTATAATAATACGAGAAACATGACAATGATTCTTTTTATTATTATCATTATTTAGTAGAGATTTTACGACACTCGCAACTGCATATGGTCATATGAGCGCAAAGGGGTAGTCTATGTTGACAGAGAAGTCTTTACAGGGAATCAGGCTTACTCTAGCTTCAGCAGCACAAAGTCTGTTTCGACTTTCAAGGCACCCTGGAAATAGCGGGTCACAAGAGTGTGACAAATAACAAATAGTAAGGATTAGGAAAGAAAAAGCAGCAGTTCCCTCTTGTAGATATCTATGGTATCAGGCACAGTTACGAGCGTGACAGTGATGAATCAGCCCATTTACAATTCTACCAGTACTGAGCATGAATGAGAAATGTCCCCCTTTTGGGAATGGCCTAAAGACACTTCAGTCAGTGGCACCGCCCGTGGGGTAGACAATGATTCAAAATAATGAGAACGAAACAATTTATGAGCTGTATATACGTCAATTATAGATTGATTTACCGTAAAAATGTTGCAGGCTGTCCAATAAAACTATCTCTTCGGACGTTAGCCGCTTCAACTATGCCAGTCAGGGACCGCCTACTCTGAATGAGGTTTAATGTTTCTGTCGAGTTTTTCGTTGAATACACTCATTTACTTTTAAACTAGTGAAGCTTTCGATTTAAAGATTGGATTTCATATTTTTAGGGTCAATTTTTTCATTGAATGCCCATTATGATTAACATTTCAATAATTTAATGTGTAGCCTAATTAGCTCTCATCAAGTCAAGAATACACATTCTTATCTTTTAGTCTAGATCTAGTTCGGGTTTGTGCCAGCTCTCTGGAGGGTGGGCGCATCGTACGAAGCAGATGACCCTGATTCGAATCCCCGACGAGGCCGTTCTGAACTCGGGTTGTTTTGAGGAGTTTTTAAGACTCTCCTCGCATCTGGCTCGGACCTACAGATAATTAAATTCGCAGGTCCCGTCTGTTTATAACCCTACAGCGTTGAAAAGGGGAGGGTTTTACATCTATACAATGTCAATGACATGATCCCTTGATGGTTTCAAGAAATTCCATGAAAAGTGAAACTGCAGTGACACACGCAACACAAGGATTATGACCCGTTGAAAAAAATTATTAGCAAAGAAAGGCTTGAACTGGAACCATTTTTAAAAGTTAAATAAGGCAAACACATTTGTATAAAGGAAGGTTTCCTCTCTATTATCAACAACAACAACAACAGCAACAACAACAACAACAATGACAAAAGCGGCAGCGGCAACAAAATAACAACAACAACAACAATAACAACAACAACAACAAAAACAACAACAACAACAAAATGGCTCTTTCAGTGCTTACATGTTTTCCTGCAAGACCTCTTCACCTCGTTCTGTGACTCACAGCATTTTCACTTTTTATGGAATGGCCCTAAACAATTGACATGACAATGTTTTCGAGAATAAGAGTAAAACATCCATCTCCAGTAGGCCTACTTACCGTTAAAGTCTCAGTACTCTTAGGTTTAGGAGGTTTTCTAGCATTACTAATAATAAAATTCGAGCTCGTTGAGACCAGAACTTCATCTCTTTCTCTTGATCTGTCCATTAAAAACGACATCTTGTCGAAGGCGAACCATTTAGACTCGTACACTTCATGCGTGCCTGTTGAGAAAATAAATTAAAAATGAATTGATGACAAAGTAAAAACAACGTACGAACTATCATCATCACCATCACATCATTTTAAAAAATGTAGATCTAGAGTAAAAAAGGAACCTGAAATAATTTTCGGTCGGTAAATTATTTGGTTTGTAAATAAACACACACAAAAGAATTTGCAACTAAACTGGCTCAGCGTTTCGCCTCACCTCGGAGGCTTCATCGGGAGAGATTGGAAAGAAAACTTTAAGGGCAATCATCATCATCATCATCATCATCATCATCATCATCATCATCATCATCATCATCATCATCATCATCATCATTATCATCATGCAAATCCTTATCTTCGTTGATTTCATCCTCTGAACATCAAAGCTGAACCAATTAAAAAAACCCAACATATTTGTGCAGTAATTTGCGTCTTGAGGCTCTACCAATTATAGCATGAGTCCCGTTTTCCTTTTCCCCCTGTCTTTTTCTTTTTGCAGAATAGTTTATAGTACAAACAGGCTTTCGATTGATTCTATGCTACCCGTGACATTCTTAAGAAACGTCAACAGCCGGACAATTATTTTATAACATTTATTAATTAAGTCAAGTGTATGTTCGGTTGTGGCGCGCCGCGCGAGCTGTATGTGTGCGTGTGAGTGTAAATGTGAGTGTATGTGAGTGAGTGAGTGAGTGGGTGAGTGAGTGAGTGAGTGAGTGAGTGAGTGAGTGAGTGAGTGGGTGAGTGAGTGAGT